GCTAGAGCTGACCCTTGTATGTGGATCCCTCCTGGTGGGCTTAGAGAGGATTCCTTTACGCTACGATCATAGTCTTTATTTATGACCCTGACTAAATGTTTTATAAATGAAAGTTTTATAATCTGTTGTCATAGTTTATATATCAATATTTCATCATGTCAGGAACAGATATTTGTTTTCGCTAAAACTCTGATCACATGTTTATATTCCGCTGTTAAATTAAATTGTTCATAACCCTGATAACATGCTCATATTCCACTATTATAAATAATAAATATTATACTCTGATGTTACATGGAAAGTGTTGTAAGAAATGGTTAATAATGATGTAAGCTTTATCCTCTCATTTGTGACCTAATGGAAAAATGTGGATTTTTTGGTTCTCTCCTGGGGTGTGCTCGATGGAACTGTGTAATTTGGTGTCCTCCCTTGTGTACTTAGTGTCTAATGGAAGACAAGTACTCATGGGAGGCATTAAAGTAGACGGTTTTGCCACAGTTGTGGAGCATCAATATCTTGAGCTTGTGCCACCATTTGATCATGGGAGACATGAGTATCTTCATTTTCTACTCTCCCATCTTTATCATCATCTTGTGGCACATTTGATGAAGAGGGTGGATTAAGCACTTGTATATCATCTTCATCATCTTTGGGCTTGATGTCTCCAACCAGAATGTTCTTCATGGCCTCTCTCAATGGTTCATCACCTACATCATCAAGATTCTCATGTGCTCCTTGGGAGCCGTTAGATTCATCAAATTCCACATCATATGTTTCTTCAACAATCCAGTGGCATGATTAAATACTTGATATGATTTGGACTTTGATGAGTAACCAACAAGAAAACCAATATCACAATGTCTTTAGAACTTCCCTAGGTGTTGTCGCTTCTTGTAGATGTAGCATTTGCAACCAAACACCCGAAAGAATGAGACGTTCGGCTTCTTCTCATTGAGCAACTCATAAAAGATCTTGCCAAAAAACTTTTGAAGGAATAGGCGATTGGATGCATAACATGCAGTGTTGATAGCTTCCGCCCATAGAGCTTCGGGTGTATTGTACTCATCAAGCATTGTTCTTGCAAGAGTGATAAGTGTCCGGTTCTTTCTTTCTACTACACCATTTTCTTGAGGAGTATATGTTGCGGAGACCTCATGTTTGACCACAACTTCATCACAATATGCTTCAATGTTTGTGTTGTCAAATTCTTTTCCATTGTCGCTTCTTATCTTCTTGAGCTTCACTTCAAATTTATTTTGTGCTCTCTTGACAAACTTCTTGAAACATGATGTCACTTTGGTCTTGTCATGAAGGAAGAACATCCAAGTATATCTAGAGTAGTCATCAACAATCACAAGACAATAGAGATTTGCTCCCAAACTCTTGTAAGTTGTTGGTCCAAATAGATCCATGTGAAGAAGCTCTAGTACTCTTGTTGTTGACTTATAAGCTTTGGTTGGATTAGTGTTTGCAACTTGCTTACCGGCTTGACATGCACTACAAAGTTTGTCCTTCTCAAATTTCACATCCTTCAAGCCTCTCATCAATTCATTCTTCATTAGCTTCTTGAGTGAGCTCATCCCAATATTTGCTAGTCTTCTATGGCATAGCCACCCAAATGATGTTTTGGTGAATATGCATGTCTTCAAGTTTGCATCTTCGGAGGTGAAATTCACTAGATATAGGTTGTTGTATCTAAAGCCCTTGAATATAACTTGATCATCATCTTTCTTAGACACAACCACTTCCTTCTCGGTAAACAAGTATTGAAAGCCAAAATCACACAATTGACCAACGGATAGCAAGTTGAAACTCAATGAAGCAACATATAGCATGTTTGATATTGAATGATCATTTGATATTGCAACTTTGCCCAATCCTTGAACTTTGCCCTTTGAATTATCACCAAATGTAATCCTTTTTTGACCATCTACTTCTTCATCTAGTGAGGTGAACATACAAGAATCACCGGTCATATGTTGAGTGCAATCACTATCAATAACCCAATGACTTCCACCAGTCTTGTAGTTCACCTACACACAAGAGATCAAGCTTGTGTTTAGGGAAACAAACTTGATGGTGGGTCTTGACTTTCTCAACTAGTGACTTTGCAACCCAAATTTTCTTAGGCCTATTCTTGTTGGGAGGACCTAAGAACATGACTTTCATTTTTCCACTAGAATCCTTTCTAAGCATGTAATGAGCATTGAAGACAAAGGGTCTAGCATGCTTGGGCAAGGGTTGTGGTGGTGGAGTTTGACACTCATGGGCAAAGTGACCTTCTTGTCCACACTCAATACATCTCTTTGGCTTAGGCTTTGACTTGTGTTGTTGTTGATGTTGAGCTTGAGCTTTCTTCTCTTGATTTGCCAAGTACCCAATACCACTTCTATCCATCTTCATCATGGTGTTCATGAGTAGCTCACTTTGGAGATATTGGCCTCTTGTGAACTTGCTCAAACCGGTCTTCAGATGTTCTTTCTCCAACTTGAGCTTTTTGTTTTCTTCTCTAAGTTCATCATGATTTTTCTCCATCTTGAGTCTCTTGTTCTCTTCTTTAAGCATCTCATTCTCAAGAGCTATATCACAATCATTGTTAAGATTTTCTATCACAATTGTGTTGGTGGTTGAGAGCTTTTCAAGATCTTTCTTGAGCTTTTCATTCTCATTTTTGAGCTTGACATACTCATCATAGTTGTCGGACTCAGCCACTTTCTTGCCTTTGCTACTAGAACCTTACTCAATGCTCTCAACAATCAAATCATCATATGATGTAGCTATATCAATCTTAACAACATTGTTTGTAGCATCATGTGGCTTATTGGATAATAACTCATGAGAAACAATAATATTGTCATGATTAATCTTGAGATTGGTGTACTCTTTTTTTAGCAAATTGTAGCTAGTGGTGAGCTCATTATGTATTCTCTCAAGTTTATCATGTTTTTCTTTAAGCTCCTTTTTAGAAGATTTGAGCTCCTTGAGTTTGGATGACATAATTTTATTTTCTTCTCTAAGTTCAACACTAGCTTTTTTGGCTGTCATATTTAGCTAAGAGTGAGTCCTTCTCAAGTTCTAACTTTTCATTTTTTTGCTCTTGTCTTTTTAATGATTTTAGTATATTGATTTAGCAACTTGACAAGATCATCATAAGAAGGTGATTCAAACTCTTCATCACTATCACTATCATTATTGCTAGCATTATCATCACCACTCTTATCATCATCATTTTGTTCCTTTCGTTCACCCTTGGCCACAAGGCATAGGTGTGTAGAGGATGACGGCGGCGATGGCGATTAAGATAGTGAAGAATCAATTACAATAGCGGCCACCTTCTCGTTCTCATTCTCACTTTCATCATCGGATGAGCCACATGATGATTCAATATCCGTAAGCAAATCACCAACAATGTATGCCTTGCCATTTTTCTTCTTCTTATGATATTCCTTCTTCTTGCCATCCTTTTTCTTGTATGGCTTATTTTTCTTCTTCTTGTCATCATTTGAGTCATCTTTCTTGCCTTTATACTTCTTCTTGTACTTGTCTTTCTTGGGTTTGGGGCATTGATGAGCTAGATGACCAAGTTCTCCACAATTATAGCAATCCATCTTGGAGATGGGCTTCCTTCTATTGCTAGTGAAGAATTTCTTCTTCTTACCATCCAACTTGACACCATTCTTGTTGAGCTTCTTTAGCATCTTGGCGGTTCTTCTCACCATGAGAGCAAGACTTGCATCATCAATTTCATCATCACTTGAGCTATCATGATCAACTCTTGCTTTGCCCTTCTTCTCTTGGCTAGCCTTGAATGTCAAATCTTTCTTCTTGGTGGAAGAAGAGCCATCTTGTGGTGTGATGTGCATGTACATCTCATGTGCATCGATCTTCCCCAATATTTGAGTTGGTGTAGCAGTGGAAAGATCACTTTGATGAAGCACCGTCACAATATGATCATATTTATCAATGGGGAGGACACTCAATATCTTTCTTACAACATCGGAGGGTTGCATTTGTGTGAGTCCAAGCCCATTGACTTCCTCTATAAGAACATTCAAGCGCTAATACATCTTATTAGCACTTTCTCAAGAACATTCACGCTCACTCTTTGTTCCCTCATAGAACGCATAAATATCCGACCATAGTGCATGGGCGTCTTTATGGTTCCGCACACGGTTAAAAACATCTTTGCAAAGTCCTCTAAAGAGGGTGTTTCTAGCCTTTGCATTCCACTTCTCATAGTTAACCTCATTGCCTTGAAGGTTTGTGGGATCCTTAGGTTTTGGGAAGCCTTGTGAGGCGGCTCTAAGAACTCCAACATCTAAAGCTTCTAGATAAGCCTCCATGCGGATTTTCCAATAAGGAAAATCATCTCCCTCAAAGATAGCAGGGGATCCATCCCCATGGGACATCTTACTCTAGGTGGTTAAGCCTAATTTAGCGAGCATGAGGCTCCGATACCAATTGAAAGGATCAAGATGCCCAAGAGGGGGGGTGAACTGGGCTAATTCTAAATTCTTTCAATAATTAAGCCCTACACTTAGCCTACTTCACCCCTTGTGCCAAGAATGTGTTTCTATTGTTCTACCGCACAAAAGTTTTGCACCTTAGGTTCCAATCCTACTCTAGCATGGCAATTCTAGGAATGTAAAGACATAAAATAAATTGCTCAAATATAAATGCTCAAAGTAAAGAGAGGGAAAAGAACGCGGCGATGTTTTCCCGAGGTATCGGAGAGTCGCCACTCCCCACTAGTCCCGTTGGAGCACCCACGCATGGGTGTAGCTCCCCCTTGATCCGCGTAAGGATCAAGTGCTCTCTACGGGCTGATTCTTTGACACTCCGTCGCGGTGAATCGCCCACAACCGCTCACAACTTGACTTGGACCATCCATAAACTCCGTCGGATAATCACCAAGCTCCCAAGCTGGCCGTATCTCATCAAAGAGCCAAACATGCATGCTATCTGCGTTTAGTATAAGCATGGGTTTAAAGCAACATCCGATGATATGGTCTGCTGCTGTAAGTGTGCAAGATCAGTCGTAAGCTTTTGGCAGTTCTTGTCTAAGTTTTCTGTCTTGCATATGTATTTCAACATTGTTTCAGCAAAAGATTCGTGACATATTTATATGGCTTGGTTATCCAAGAATCATCAAATCAATTTGTTATATCTTATTCATAAAATATGCTAGTGTAGTAGTGTTGTTTTTGAATTATAAGTTCTGCAATTTTATATAAATAATCCATATTTTCACAGGTTTATGTAATCAGTGCTTTACCTTTAAATCCTTGAAATTTAGGTCCTCATTGCCTGCTTCTTCCATTTATCTTATATTTTTCTCTGGAAATTGTTTGGAAGTTTATGCAATGACTTTGATTATTATTGACTTTTTTCTGTTGTTTTGAACCCAGACCTAATACATAATTACTTGCTAAGCTTACATGATTTGTACTTAACTGACAAAATATGTAACTAATCATAGCTATCCTCTGAATAACCTGGTTTTAAAGCTAAAAAAAAACTTTCCTCAAAATTTTCATAGCAAAGCACGTATTGGTGGAGCACTGTGTTCAGTTTCTATTTTGATGTCCTTGTTTTTGTGGGATTCGAAAAGTTTTATTAATTTTCAATTTGTTTCACGGTGCCTGCTGTAATGGGTTGCTGTGATTTTCTCTTTTTTTACTTTTTAGCATGGCTTCTATCCTCCTACCTTGTGATTCTGTTGGGCTTGTTGTGTTTCTTTCCTTTACGTGTTTATGGAAGCACCACGTAACATCCATTTTCATGGACTCAATATAAACTTTGCACTTATCTTTACAAAATACTGTTTGTTCTTTCCAGAAACTTCCGCATGATGCATATCAACTTCTTGCAGTGCCTCCTCCTATAAGTGGCATTCTTGTGATCTGTGCCAATTCGATCCATTATCATAGTCAGGTTTGTCGACCTATGTACTCATGATTCATGAAATTTATTCATTGATTGGTTGATCTTTAGCCATCGATTCAAAAATTATCTTTGTTGTTGCAGTCCACATCTTGTTCACTTGCCTTGAACAGTTTCTCGTCGCAGCCTGACGGAAGGTAGTATCTTGCTTAAAATCACAATCCCTACTTTCCTTGTGACTTGTCCTACTTCTCATTAGAATAAGTGCTTGCTTGTTATTTGCCAAAAAGTTGTTTCATGCTGCCAACTCATAAGCTGCCTTTTGTTATTGTTATATCTTTTTTGACACCTTTTACTAGTATACATGCATATATCTACTGTGGCGTTCACCATTATACAATAATGTCCATGACCTCAACCGCTCATCTGAAACCCCTCTTGGACATACTATTTACACTCTTTGAAGATACAGTACTGGAAATCTGATCTAGTTTAAGCAGCAAAAATAACGCATGTGGGCTTGTAAATTAGCTGAACTGATATAAAGCCCGTCATTTTCTGTGGTCAACTTTTTGTAAAATGATAACCTCATAACAATCCGTGTACCTGAAAAAGTCTTAGAACTTGTTCTGTTTATTCCAATCATATGATCTTCAGTTATTTCTTTCTCACTAATCTCTTTGGCTCAACATTTTTGCTTCTAGATTATGGTAAAATAAAAGTTAGGGAACAAGGTTCCACGCTGCTTGGAAGAATGCTGACCACCTGAGCGAATGAGCAAACTGTTAGTTTGTTTTCTGGGATTCATGCAACTGACTCCTTTGCATTTCCCATGTCATGAATAATCTCCTCATATCATTGGTAGTTTGATAAGATCCTTCAATCTCATTGCAAATGTCATTCTATTAGTAATGAAGGACACTTTTGCTAAGAAGTAAAAAAAAATCTGAATTTTAAAATTTCAGAATTGATTTTAAATAGATCTTGAAAGTAATTTCGTTTTTGGACAGAAGGAAGGGTTCCTGGCTGTTGGATTTAGGAATTTTAAACTACTGCAGGCTGTAAACTTGAACATGCTTTCGAACCTTATGCACACAGCACACCATGGAAGAATCTATACATAGTGTGTGATTGATAAATGCAAAAACTTGTGGTTATGTATTCTCGTTTCTCACCATACAGGGAAATTATACGCTAATGTGTTAGGCTGTCCTACCATGCAATACAATAACACCTTTAGCTATGAACTTTGAATAGAAATTATAGACTGATGTGATATAAATGATAAATCAAGTGTGGAGAAGTCGCGTACAAAGATATAAACCTTCAACTGCATAGTTGAAAGAATGGTACCTGTATATGTGGTGTAGGCTGTAGGCATAAGTGTGTCATTAGTGCAATACTGAGTTTTAGAACCATGAATCCATTACAGTTTATTGTATGTTATCTAGTGTAGCTACCACCAATATTTACTAGGATACTGTATCCTATGCTATTTGAATGATATGTTGTCTAGATGTGTCTCCCTTCAACGCATTGTTTAAATCCATATGTATTTGAATTGATTTGTTTTTAGATCATTGCCAGTGCTGCTCCATTATTATTCTGAAAAATTGGCAGACAATACTACTATAAGTTGTCTTCGTATCTTTTTTTAACTACATTGTGACTTGCGGTACAAATCGGACAGTTGTCAATCACAACAACAACAACAACAATAACAACAACAACAACAACAACAACAACAACAACAACAACAACAACAACAACAACAACAACAACAACAACAACAACAACAACAACAACAACAAAGCCTTTAAGTTCCAAACAAGTTGGGGTAGGCTAGAAGCAATTAAGGTTCAGGCACGTGAATAGCTGTTTTCCAAGCACTCCTATCCAAGGCTAAGTCTTTGGGTATATTCCATCCTTTCAAGTCTCCTTTTATTGCCTCTACCCAAGTCAACTTCGGTCTTCCTCTGCCTCTCTTCACGTTACTATCCTGGCTTAGGATTCCACTACGCACCGGTGCCTCTGGAGGTCTCCGTTGGACATGTCCAAACCATCTCAACCGATGTTGGACAAGCTTTTATTCAATTGGTGCTACCCCTAATCTATCACGTATATCATCGTTCCGAACTCGATCCCTTCTTGTATGACCGCAAATCCAACGCAACAAACGCATTTCCGCGACACTTATCTGTTAAACATGTCGTCTTTTCGTAGGCCAACATTCTGCACCATACAACATAACAGGTCTAATCGCCGTCCTATAAAACTTGCCTTTTAGCTTTTGTGGTACCCTTTTGTCACATAGGACACCAGATGCTTGGCGCCACTTCATCCACCCTGCTTTGATTCTATGGCTAACATCTTCATCAATATCCTCGTCTCTCTGTAGCATTGATCCTAAATATCGAAAGGTATCATTCCTAGGCACTACTTGACCTTTCAAACTAATATCTTCCTCCTCTGAGTAGTAGTGCCAAAGTCACATCTCATATACTCAGTTTTAGTTCTACTGAGTCTAAAATCTTTAGACTCCAAAGTCTCCCGCCATAACTCCAGTTTCTGATTCACCCCTGTCCGGCTTTCATCAACTAGCACTACATTGTCCGCGAAAAGCATACATCAAGGGATGTCCCCTTATATGTCCCTTGTGACCTCATCCATCACTAAGGCAAACAGATAAGGGCTCAAAGCTGACCCTTAATGTAGTCCTATCCTAATCGGAAAGTCATCCGTGTCTCCATCACATGTTCGAACACTAGTCACAACATTGTCGTACATGTCCTTAATGAGCCAACGTACTTCGTTGGGACTTTATGTTTGTCCAAAGCCCACCACATAACATTCCTTGGTATTTTATCATAGTCTTCTCTAAGTCAATAAAAATCATGTGTAGGTCCTTTTTCTCCCTATACCGCTGCATAACTTGTCTTATTAAGAAAATGGCTTCCATGGTTGACCTTCCGAGCTTGAAACTAAATTGGTTCATAGAGACCCGCATTATTGCTCTCAAGCGATGCTCGATAACTCTCTCTCATAGCTTCATAGTATGACTCATCAACTTAATTCCCCGATAATTAGTACAACTTTGTCAATGGCTGGCAAAATTAGAGAAATTAGTTGTTGAAGGTTGAATGAAATTGTTACCTGTTTTGTGATGAAACATGGAAGTGCCTTTGACATGGTTCTTTTACTAAGCAAATTTTGTCAGATGATATTGCGGTCCAGAGTTCAGTTGGCGTGTAGACTAGACTGAGATGTCGGGGCTTCCCCTACCATATTCTCCTAAAAAAGAGACTATAACCAGTGGCAGCTGTTGTGTTTGCAGTATTTACTGTTCCCTCCGTACACAAATATTGAAATATAAGGCATTCTGAGTTTTTTTTTTCGTTTGTCCACCAAGACAAGGAATTCTGGCACCCAGCACCCCACATTTAATTAATTCTCTACCATTCTGTTGACATCCTTCCATTTAAATACAGTGGTGTAGCCCAACGGCCGCTTGAATTAAGGAAATTAGGTGTGGTCGTTATCCTTTACTCAGGAGCACACACATCTATTCTATTCCTAATCTGTCTTAAAATCTCTAGAATGCCTTATATATGTCGATGGAGGGAGTAGTCAACAGGGTGCCATTGCTGCTGCTGCTCATTCACTTGGCGGTGCTTATCTAGCATGAAAATTTTATAGTTGGGTTTGATATACATATAATTTTACTTTGATCCATCCATGACTGCAGATGCTGTTTCTTAGTTTCCTTACTCTTCATTGGAGGTTTTAGTTGGTCACTTTATTTTTCTCTATCAACTTGGCAGCCCAGAAATTCTTAAGACAAGTTTTCACATTGAGCTTGATGTAGCTAAAGCAACATGGTTATCCCATGACATTGTGATGTTTTCATCAAAGAATGGAGAAATACTATTACTAACAGTGGTTTATGATGGGCGGTATGGCACTACTATTACTCACTGTTCATTTGAGAAAGCCATACTTACAGTTTGTACAAGTGTTTTAGACTTTGTATTGATTATTATTATTTGCTTTTTTTTATTTACAGAGCTGTGCAAAGATTAGATCTTATGAAATCCAAAGCATCTGTTCTTAGTTCGGTTGGTTATCTATGCCTTTGTTTTGTTCCTTTTTTTTTACTCAACTGAAGGGATTATGTTTTTGTGTTTACTCACCTGCTTGGTATAGGGTGCTACAACTCTTGGAAGTTCGTTCTTCTTTCTTGGCAGTCGTCTGGCAGATAGCCTTCTTGTGCAATTTTCCTGTGGCATGCCAACATCAGCTCTGTCTGATCTAACAGATGAGGTTAGTTTTATGACCTCTCTCTCTGGATGTGCCTCTTAAATTTTTGTTTTTATTTGAGAACTTCACCCTGTATGCTTAAAAAATATACTGCTCACTTCAAATGAGTTCTTGCTTACTGCCACTGTGACACTGTGTAAACCTATATAGCTAAAAAGTACCATTATTATCATATTTGCGGTTAGCACTAGAAATTTTCAGAAAAATAATAATCTTTTTAAATTTCCATATTTGCAGTAAGCACTCAAAATTTTCAATAAAATAATCTTTTAAGTTTCTTTCTGTAGAATATATAAAGATCCCTGTATGTTTTTCCTAGTTTCTTATCTCATCATTCTCCTGTCCATCTCATTTGTTCTCTCCTTATTGTGCTGTGTTTATTTTGCCTCTTTATTTATGCATTGCTTGTCGTATCCTCACATTGACCCAATTCTTCTCATCTCAACTTCTCTTCTCAAGAACTACTAGTCTCAATATCAGTATTCTCCAGTTCCCAACTCTGCTCTGTGAGTTTGGTCACCAACTTTAACGTCCAATAAGGGTTGTGCATTGGAGAGGAAATATACACCTCTGCCTAATTTTGTGGCTACTTTGGCTCTTTTTGTATTGTGTTTATTCCTCATACTCTCCAATGTGGCCATTGGGATACTTTAAAGAGATGGAATTAACTAGGACAACATGGATTTGAGGATCTAAGTATTGTTGTAATGGGTTGCATCCGAGGAGAGGGATTAAAGGGTAGAATTGGGGAAATTAGGGGTGATTAGAGAAGGGGAATGACTGCCCTAGGTGTTAGAGTAAATAGGAATAGCACCACATTGTCTATCTACGTGGGGTGTTAGTCCTATGTACTCTATATAATCAGCCCATAAGGCCCAATGCAATACAACGAATATTCCACCAATTCTATTCTTACATGGTATCACGAGTCTAGTTTTAGATCCTAACCCTAGCCGCCGCTAGCCTCAGCATCGCCCCCCCTCCCTCGGGTAGAGCAATCTCTACCGTGGGTAGTGTCACCCCTGTAGGCGCCGGATCCAATTGATCCTGCTGCCATCGTCGTCGTTGTCAAGTAGCAGATCGGGCCTTCTCGCGACGCCACACCACCTCTTCGCCCTCTTTGTTCTCGCCGTGAAGGACGCTGGGTGTCGCCCCGTCTCGTGCCGCCATGGTGCTGGCTCGAGCCAGGTCAACCCCAACGAGCCGCCATGGTGGTAGCCGGCCAATCTGTGCCCTCGCGTGACCCGCCCTGACGCCGCCCCGACATCCGCTCATCGACGCCACCATCGCTTGTCCCCATCGTGCGCCCCGCGCCGCCGCACTGGACAATCCATGTCGGGCCGCATTGTCACCACGCCGCTGCCAGTCGGGTCTTGCCTGCCTCGTCGCCTCCTTGTCTCCCCGCACCACCCCTCCGCTTGTCCTCTCCCAATTTGTTCTCTTTGTGTGCATGAAAGAGGCCAAAATAAGAGAACAAAGGATGGGGGTTATTGCTGGGTATGCTCGATCCGCTGCTATATCCTTTTGGTTTGCCCAATCACTATTCGTGATTGAGTCGCCCATCGCCTGTCAACCTCGCGTGCTACTCCAAGTACGCCACACATCTTCTCTGAGCAATAGAGCTTCTGTTGTGTCGCCTTATTAGGCCTCAGCACCGCCACCTGTGTGTCTACTTCGTCGTTGCATCTACATCACCATCCCCTATGCATCGACGGCTGTGATGCACAATCTTTGTTGCCCCACACGTTTGCACAAGGTCTTCATCTCGCTGATCGGGTCTTCATCGTCAACTTGGAGCTCTACCCGATGCGCGTGGTGCCTCGCGTCCGGACGGCTCACTCACGAGCATCTGCTCCCGCCCAGCCTGCTGCCTTCAGGTTAGACGCGTCCGTCTTCGGACAACTTCTTCGTTCAGCCAAACCACGTCGTCAACATCGCCGTCTCGTCCCCACCTACTTCGTCTACTCGAATAACTGCATGCTGCGTTGGCATCTTCTACCCTGCCATTGTGCGCATTGCAACCGCCGTCGAGGCCTTTCTGCTGGTCCCTCAGGCAGGCGCTGATCATGGTTGGGGCCCCCTACCTCGTACGTCCGGTATTGGCAACACTGGTGTGTGCCTTCATCCACGACGTGACAACCCCGTCGCAAGCTTCGTCCTTGGCAGCTGACTACATCAACTCTCTCTTGATTGCGTCGCCTTCTTCAGCTACATCTTCGATGGCCTTGACTGTGTCGACCTCGGCATCGCCCAGGCGCCCCCTTCCACGACGACTGCCTCAACGCTTATCCATCACCCTCATGGCGCATCATTGCGCCTGCGGCCTTTGTGTAGCCGCCTCGACATCGGTTACCTCGACTGCTACGTTGATCTCCAGCACGGCCTCCTCGACCATGGCTCCTCCGCCCTCGCGTTCAGCTACCTTGACATCGCCACATAGGGCTACCACCTTTCCTGAGGACTCATCGGCTTCTTCTCCAGCCATAGCATACGCGACACATTGACTGTTATGACTACGGCGGGATGTTAGTTCGTTAGCTTCTCCAATCTCACCGTCTACAACGCTCCCGCAGTGTCTGCGAGGGGATGTTAGAGTAAATAGTGATAGTACCACATTGTCTATCCACGTGGGGTGTTAGTCCTATGTACTCTATATAATCATCCTATGAGGTCCAATACAATACATCGGATATTCCACCAATTCTATTCTCCTACACTAGGGCTAGTTGCACCTTAGAGAGAGGGAGGGGGCAGCGACAACAACAGGCTGCACCCGTTCGGGTGGAGGGAGAGCGGCATGTCCAACGGCAGCTCGAGCGTGGAGAGGCTAGAGAGGTTTAGGGTTTTACCCCTTGATTACTCTTGCTTAATCTCAATAATTACATCTCCCCTTATATTTATATAGGGAGGACCCATCTTGACTTGACTTGTCTTACGAGCGGTCCTATTTTATGGACTTCTAAACCTTGACCTAGATGGAATTGCAGGCCGCTACAGTACCCACGGGTGCTGTTCACACAAGCCTGCGCTGGGCTGCAGTGGGCCCTGCATGACCCATTTAGACCCATGACAATTGTATTGCAACTTTGCAGTGACTTTCTAAGTTCCACTTGCTTATGATTTTATTGTAAGTTGCCCTAGCTCTGAAACATTAGAAGTTGCTATTTTTTGATAACAACATTAGAAGCTGCTATTGGAATCTAGCTGGATCCATGCAGCAATATTGGCCCTGCTTGGTTCGGCTTATGAGATAGCTTCTCATTGAAAAAAAAGCAGAGGCGGAGCCAAATGTCAGGCTTCTGAGGGGCTTCTTCTGCTAGCACTTCTCCATCATAAGGGGCAAATCTATATAAGCTAGAAGCCGGCAACGATCTCCTTTTCTTGGCTTATTGGGATAACACCTCACTACATTAGGGAGGGGTGGATCTCATATATATAGCCAAGATACAATATACATGAGCTTGACTTATACATATCTCTAATACCTGCCCACAGTCACAATGGGAGGGAACTAGACGCAGAGACTGGACCTAAAGTCATTGAACAACTATACAGGCAGTCCCTTAGTCATAATGTCCGTGAACTGATGAGCTGAGGGTACATGTAGTGCCCCAAAGCCACCTTCTCACGGACAAAGTGAATGTCAATCTTAATATGCTTCGTGCGATGATGATGAACCGGATTGACAGCCATGTAGATTGCGTATATTGCACTGACATTGTCGCAATAGACAATGATTGCTGAAGGGATCAAGATATGAAGCTCCTCAAGCAACTGGCGCAACCAGCAGCACTTAGCAACTGCGTGAGCAATAGCTCGGTACTCTGCCTCCGCACTTGTGTCTGTCGTTTTGAAGACCAGGAAACCAAGTTGTCTCCGAGGAAGACACAGTAGCCTGATGTAGAGCGCCGAGAGTTTGGACATCCAGCCTAATCAGCATCGGAGTATGCCGTGATAGATGACATGCTTCCAATGCCGAGGTGCGGACCGGCGTCAAGGGTGCCCTTCACATAGCGCAGAATGCGCTTGATCAAAGCAAGATGCGTCTCTCGCGGGTCGTGCAGGAAGAGGCAGACTTGTTGAACGGCGTAGGCAATGTCCGGCCGAGTCAGCGTGAGATACTGCAAGGCGCCAGCAAGGCTCCGGTATTCTGAAGGGCTAGCAACCGAAGCTCCATCGGTGGCAGACATCTTGGACTTGGAGTCAACCGGTGTAGCCGTGGGGTGACACTCAGCCATGTTGGCCCGCTAAAGAAGGTCGATGGTATACTGTTTCTAGGACAAGTGGAGGCCGTCAGAGGACTGAGTGACGGGAGATGCCGAGGAAGTTATGTAGAGCCCCAAGGTTCATCATGGCGAACTCGGAGCTAAGACGGTTGATGATGCGCCGCAGAAGATCCGAAGAGGATTTCTGTGAGGATGATGTCGTCGACATACAAGAGCAAATACGCCATCTACACTCCATCTTTGAAGATGAAGAGAGAAGCATCAGACTTGGCTGCAGTGAAGCCGTGGTTGCAGACGTAGGTGGCAAACCGCTGATGCCACGCGTGAGGAGCCTGCTTGAGGTCGTATAGTGATTTCTGCAATAGGCAAACATAGTCAAGGGTCGACGGGCCGATGAAGCCAGCCGGTTGGTATGCGTAGACGGTCTCCTCAAGGCCCCATGAAGAAAAACATCTTCACATCCAGCTGGTGAATCGGCCAGGAGCGTGAAGCAGCAATGCTGAGCACAGTCCAGATCGTAGCAGACTTGATGACTAGACTGAAGGTCTCGTCGTAGTCAGCACCATGCTGTTGGGAGAAGCCACGAACAACCCAACGAGCTTTGTGGCGTGCAAGGGAGATGTCGGCATGATATTTATGCTTGAATAGCCACTTGCCCATCACAATGTTGGCACCCGGTGGTCAAGGAACTAGACGCCAGGTGCCGTTGTCGAGGAAAGCCCGATACTCATCCGCCATCGCAGCACGCCAATTGGGATCAGCCAACGCACTGCGATAATTGGCGGGCAGCGCAGATGCTGATGTTGTAGACATGCCCTTGTAGTTGACAGGAGGAACAACACCGCTCTGTGTGCGTGTCATGGGCCAATGCAAGCCCCTGCATAGGCCGACGAGGTGGAGGGGGCTACAGCAGCCCTAAAGGAGCACGGGCAGCAACGACTGGACGCTGCGGCCCGTGCACAATGCGAGGCAGACCCACTGGCAGACGACGATGGCGACACAGCTGTGGTGGACGGCGGAGCTAGCGAAGAAGACCGACGCTGGTACACCTTCGATCAGCCGGCGCTGGTGCTGGTGCTGGGGCTCCTCGAGAGTAGGTGGAAACATTAACGTATCTTTCTTTTCGCTCCCCTCCTGCCTATCCCTATGGATTTGAATCCAGAAGCAAGGGCACCACTTTGCGTATCTATTTCGATTTCCTATTTTGATAGATAATGGAAGAATTCAAATAAGAGTACTATAGATTCTATTAATACATAGATTGAAATAATACACAGATTGAAAGATTCTACATATAAGGAAGGTAAGATAGATTGAATAAAGAAAAAGAAATCTGTGATTCGAACGATGCTGGTAGGTGAGGCCAAGCTGGCCGGTCCTGCCTGAAGGCGCAGCAGGGGCAGGGCCAGGCGACTACGTAGGATGACCGGATGTGTGTACTGGGAGGCCAATCGGCTGGTCAGCAGGGATGGCCAGTTGAACAGACGGCCGAGCAAGGGCAGCCATGATTTTGGTTGGATCGTTGGCAACGGTTGCTCAACCTCTGTAACAGAGGGAGCGATCAAAGTGGCACCCTGCAGATGGAAGTCAAGCAAAGATGTCGGAGACGGGGTCGCAGCAAAGGGAAAAATGGACTCATCAAACACAACATGGCGGGATGTAATCACACGCCGAGTGGAAATGTCAAGGCACCGGTAACCCTTGTGAGAAGATGGATAGCCCAAAAAAATGCACGGCGCAGAGCGAGGTGCAAGTTTGTGGGGAGTCGTGGTACTGAGATTAGGGTAACATAGGCAGCCGAACACACAGAGGTGTGAATAATCTGGGATGGAGCGATGAAGGAGTTGGAATGGAAGGTGATTGCCAACAGAGGAAGGTGGGCGCTTGTTCAGCAAGTAGATTGCTATAGCAAGCGCCTCGGCCCAGTAGGCGGGTGGCATGGAGGCATGAATCAGCAGGGTGCGGACAATGTTGTTGGTGGTATGAATCATGCGCTCAGCTTTGCCGTTCTGTGGAGAGGTGTAAGGACAAGAAAGACGAAGCAGAATGCCGCGGCTAGATAAGAAGGCATCTATGGCATGGTTGACAAACTCTGTGCCATTGTCAGCTTGGAAGCACTTGGGCACACGACCAAATTGAGTTTGGGCGTAGGAAACAAAGCTGACAAGATGACCATAGACTTTAGATTTCTGACGCAGCAGAAAGGACCAACAATAATGACTAAAATCTTCAATCATGATCAAATAGTATTTATAACCCGAAGTACTAAGGACCGAAGAGGGCCATAATCACAATGAATTAGAGCAAAAAGTTTAGATGTGGTGGAAACTGAATTGCTAAACGGCAGGCGAGTGTGTTTGCCAAGCTGGTAGGCATGACAGAAGGATCTTACTGCTTTATTACACATGATGACCGATTGATTCTGGACTCCCGAATGACCAAGACGATGATGCCATAAGGTGGACGAGACGGCAATGCAGCAACTGGCGGTGGTGGGTGGTGATGCAAATGGTATGGTGTAGAGATCGCCGCTGCTATTGCAGCGAAGAATCACGTGTCCCGTCCATGGATCCTTAACAGAGAAGCCAAAAGCATCAAATTTGATAGAACAACGATTATCACGTGTAAATTGACGAATAGAAAAAAGGTTGCGCACAATGTCAAGCGCAATCAGAACATTATTGAGAAAGAAGGACGTGTCGGCAGTGGGAAGAATAGAGGTGCCACGACTAACAACATGTATAGAATGACCATTGCCCATAGTAATGGATGAAGAAGGAGGAAGGCGGGTGAGCAGTATACCATCCGAAGAAGCCATGTGAGATGTGGCACCAGTGTCCAGAACCCATGGGCTAGCACCTTGAAGGGCCATCTGGTTCAAGGCGGCGATGAGGCCTTCCTGGTTCCACCCACCAGCTTGAGGACATGGCGGGGGATCAAATTGTGGCTGCTAGACGACGGTCGAAGCGGAGAACTCAGCAGGAACGAAGGCTGAATGTGCCTGTGGAGGCACCCCAAACAGCCCCTGTCCACACCACTGTGGCTACTGCTGAGGGGGACGAAACCAGGGCTGATGCTGTAGCTGTTGTCCGGGAAGGGGACCAACACAGAGCCACTGGCCGCCTTGAGGTGGAGCACGTGAGCCCCCTTGCTGCTGTTGCTGCTGCCGACCCCCTCCACCACCTTTCTTCTTGTGGCGGTTGGAGTTGGTACTGCCGCCGCTAGGAGCATGATGGGCCGCACCAAAGCAAGCAGAGGCCCCGTGACATGCTGTGCCACAGGAAGTTGAGCCGGCGGCGAGGAGCGCGGTCTCAGAGGAAACCTTGCCTTCATTGGCGAGGCGAAGTTCCTTGAGAACGAGCTTCTAGCGCGTGGTGTTGAAGTCGGGCAGCGGCGAAGTGTCAGCGATGTTGTCCGCCGTGCTAGAGAATCGTGGATTGAGGCCATGTAGGAGGTTGGGGACAAGCTGTGACGTCGAGACAGCCTGGCTGAAATCTTTGAGGGCATTGGCGACGGTCTTCATGCGTTGGCAGTAGTCGTTGATAGGTAGGCCTCCCTGTCTCATGGAGGAAAATTCCTCATGTAGGAAGACAGCGCGAGGCTCCTTGTTGCAGAGAAACAAGCCCTCGACGGCAACCCAGAGTTGGCGTGCTGTCTGATTGTCCTCCTTGGTGAGGTCCTAGACATACTAGGGGTCAGTGGGATTGGCTGGAACAGTCCCATCGATGTGGCCGCGGAGACCGAACTTTTCTCGAGCAGGGACTTGAAGAAGGGCGCCCACTTGTGGAAGTTGGGGTGTTGCAGCTCGAGGACGACGGGGACGTGAGAGCGGACGGCAATCGTGGCGTAGGGTGCGACGATCGGACCGGCGGGGATGGAGCCCATGGCGCCGCTGATGACAGAGGAGGCAGAAGAGTCGATCCCCATGGGATGAAGGCAGAGGAGTTTGCAAGCAGGGAAAGTAGCGAGCACGCAGGGGCAGGGGAGACCGCGACCCGCGACCTTTAAAGTTGTCGCGAGTACGGGAGAGCAGGGGAGACCGCGACCTTGAGTCGTCGCAAGTACGAAAGAGCAGAGGAGACTGCGACTTCGACCTTGAGTCGTCGCGACTACGGGAGAGCATAGGAGACCGCGACCTTGAGTCGTCGCGAGTACGGGAGAGCAGAGGAGACCGCGACTTTGACTCGCCGCGCGCGGGCTTCGTGGATGGGAGGGGAAGGGAGCGACGTGCAGCAGCGCAGGGAAGTCGCAGAGCAATTATGCGAGGTAGGTGCCGCGTTTGCAAGGGGTGCGCGGTCTCTGATACCATGTAGAAGATTGGGAGAACACCTCACTCCATTAGGGAGGGGTGGATCTCATATATATATATATATATATATATATATAGCCAAGATACAATATACATGAGCTGACTTATACATATCTCTGATACCCTGCAACCTCCGCCTCCATCTGCTTTCCACGCGCCTCCACCTCTGTCCGGTCTCCTCGCTCCCTCCACCGCCATCTGCTCCTTGCTTCCTCCACCCCCATCTGCTCTCCTCGCTCCCTTTGCGTCCTTCCGTCTCTAGTCGCAGTCCCTCAATCTCCACTGAACCTTCACCTCTCAACGATGTCCATGAAGATCCCCTTCACGTGGTGCGTTGCCGGTGTCGGCGGCCCTTTGGCCTGATCTGGCTCGGTGGTGGCACCTGTCTCCATCTAGGTTGGCAGCTGCGCTCCGGCTTGGTCTAACTCGGCGGTGGTGCTCTGGCTCTATCTGACTTGACGACGCTTCCAGTTCGTCGAGTTTTCGTCCTTCGGTGGTGTGAGCTCCAGCTGACCACCTCATGCGAGATCCCGTCCTGCGCTGCCTGGAGTCGTGCTTGTGGCCTTGTTCCTCAACAGTGCCGCACGCTCGTCTCATCCGCTGCCATCAGGGACTCACATGTCAGTGATGGTGAAAAAGCTATAGACAAGCTAAGGTGCCAAACATCAACCTGGGCTTTCCAACAAGCAGCTTGTGTGTCGAGCAAAAGAAAAGCTGACTTGTCAAATAAGTTCATGAAAAAAGCAGTTCCAAACAGGGCCATTATCTAGATTCACATGGTAGGAATGCCAGTGCAGAAAAAAACCTCCGTTACTTGTTTTTCATTGGGCCTGTTTGGAATACTTCTGAGCCAGCTTCCCATTAGAAAAAGCAGACCCTGTGCCAATTGTCTTGGCTTACCAATCGTCAGTTGTGCCGTTTCTTTTACATTATTATAAGAGTTTTGTGTAGTTCATTAAATTGTTAGTATCTTACTGATTGTTTTTTTTTTGTTTTCTGATTCTGACAACTGACACTTTTTATGTTTTATTATGCATCATCTTCTTTCTGTACATACTTCTGGCTATGCACGTATCATTTGTAACACATGTGCAGTTAGCTTTTGGGAAGTATGCTAAACTCCTTGAACCATGGTGACTGATATATGGTTATCTACTTGTGTAACAGTCTGCTGATATTGAAGGTGATCTGCCTTTCTCAAAGCGCCTGAAGAGGATTCCCTCTGATGTTCTACAAGATGTTACCAGTGTTGAGGAACTTTCTTTTCATAACAAGACAGTGCCAAATATTGTAGATTCAGCACATGTATGAAGAATACTTTCTGTTGTATGGTAGCTATCTGTTTATGGTTACCTTCTGTTGCGCTGTAATATTTTCCCTTTGCTGTAGGTGATATGATTTCTACTTTGGTTAAGTTCATTTTAATGGTTACATGATGAGTTTGCTGCTGCTCATAGCTGCGTAGCTGCTTCCCATTTTCTTCTTTCTTATTGCTAATTTATTTCACCAAAACTTTACAGAAGATCTCATTTGTTGTGAGAGATGCTCTGATCAATGTTGGTCCTCTGAAAGATTTTGCATATGGTTCAAGAACTAATGCTGATCCCAATGCAGCAGGCATTGCGAAGCAAAGCAATTATGAGCTGGTAATTTTTATGATACTCTTACCTTTCAATTGTTGGTAATAATTATATGTCTACATTTTCATTTGTTCTAGCTTGGTCTAACATGTACATGGAATTTATTACATATTTTTCATGATTGATTTTGCAGAAAACATGGTTGATTGATTGATTCCATCAATTGCTTAAAATGCCAGTGTTTTATGGGATTATTACTAGCTGGGTTTTGAGATGTTTCATCCTACATGCAAATTTAGATTCTGAAGTCAAGGGAAAATAGTGAAAAATAAGGACAAAGAAAATGTGATAAAAGCTTACTAAAACTAACAAGGGAGCCTGGCACTGCTTGGTTTCTGTGCAGGTCCCCCGATTTTTACTTGAATGTGTTTATGCAATTCTCGCAACAAGAATAATGCCAAGAATTGGAGGATGTCCAATTAATAACTACATTAAAACATGGAAGATAATGATATATGATCAGGTGCTATTTATACTTCAGTCCTCAAAAAAACTTATTGCAAATAGGACCTCTAGGAATCAATTTCAGACAATGGACTCAAGGGCTCAGCTCTTATTGGCATGGAGATCACAGATCAGGGTACATTTTTTTCAAACACATAGGAGAGCTGCGTATCATTTCATTGAAAGGAGAAGAAAGAGTCGTACATAGACCCGAACACACACCTCCTTAAAACGTAGCATGGTGCCACATGATCCTTAAAACGCAGCAAGGCTGGCTTTAAATGTCACAGCACTGAGTTATCTACCTTTCGTGAGATGACAATTAGAGCCATCCTCCTGTTTCCATTTTTAGAAATATTGTCTCAGAGTCAGAGGGTCCCTTTGCAAAGTAAGTTTTTCAAAAGAACCAAATAAAAAAAAATTCAACATGCAATTAGCAACCAATTGTTCATGTACACTGCCGTGTAGCCCGTTTACATGCTGTGTAAATGCTACACGGTGGCTTGCCGTGTCCGTTTAATCACCGTTTAGCCCGTTTAAATGGCCGTTTAGCCCGAATAAATAGCTAAACAATAGGTGACTGATTAGTCTGTTAAAACGTTTAGGCTAACATTTTCTGTTTCATTCATTTTACTGTATGTATTAGCTGCTGGAGTATTCTTCTGTACTCTGCAATTGACTGAAATTTTTTATGGGGTAAACATTGCTGGAAGCAGATCCCCTCTGGTTGTTTGGGATGGGAGAACTTAGCTTGGGATAACGAAGGAACTAGATTTGTTCTTGCTTGATCAGTTGAAGCGGGCTTATGCGGGACCAGCCCTAACACATGGAGCTTACACATCCAATCCTTATGCTAATTAACTGAATTAATTTGCGCTAATCATCCTGATTGAAGTGATCCATAATTTTACTCTGGTCACCATTGTTCGCATCAAATCTTTGTCGCTCTTCAGGCAATGAACTAAAAAATGTACCTGTCCTGATTTCGTAGTTTAATTACTGAAGCTGTATAATGTTTGTTGTTCTTCATTTAATATAAATTTCTTTGTGATAATATTGGGTGTTTCAGGTGTGTTGTTCTGGGCATGGAAAAAATGGAACACTCTCGGCCCTTCAACAATCTATCCGTCCAGATTTAATTACCGAGGTGCATGTTTTTTCTTTCATTTTTTTTTTGTATTTTTGGTCCAATCACTTTTTCACTCGTTTGGGAAGCAAATAATTCTTGGTTCTTTTGTTTTCTTTGTCAATTTGATGCGACTATGACACCTGGTATTGTTCTTCTGGACATATTCTTTTTTCTCGAACTACGCAGGAGAACTGTGTGTCATTTCATTAAGGAGATAGAAATACAAAGGGAAGAATCGAAGTGCCTTTTCCAGACCCCAAAAAACACACACAAAACAAAAAAGCGGCAAACTTTACAGAACCTTAGATTTTGCAAAATCAGGTTGGATGGGCTGCTGTCATTATTATGATTGGTAGACAAGCTGTGTCAGTAGAAAAAGGAAACAGAAGAGTTTGCTAGTAGCGAAGGATATATCTGTAGCTATAGCTATAGATGGTTGGTGTTGGAGGCAGATTTGTGCTGTATTTTGGTGGTTGTGTTGTTAGTGAGCAAAGTTTGGCTGTGAGCGTCTCAGTGATGATGTGTAAGAGGGCTCATCAGTGGTTCAGTGGTTGTCATGTAGATTTTTTTTTGAACGTAAGGTTGTCATGTGGATAAGGAGGGGGGAATTGTGTTGATTGTTGGCGATTGCTACCAGGCGGTGGCAATCACTGTCTACTTTAAGTGAAATATTGTTGAAGGTGACAGAAAGTTGGGGAGTAGGCATAGTAGGAATCTTTATCACTGTTGAGCTGTGTTTCTTTGTATTTATAGGAGAAAGAAAAAGTGTAACATTAGAAGAGCACCCAACCTGGGGAAGAAACTCCCCCACACAGTCCTCTTAACTAATCATGCCCACAATGAAAATATAAGGCTAACAATCATGGCTGCTGCCACCATTCTAACTTTACCACAGGGCTCTCAAGCCTTTAGCTTCAGACAGGCACCTTAGGTGGGTGGCCCCAGAGATGTCTCTAAGAACATTAGAAACCCTTGGTGTGGCACCATCTAAAACACATGCATTCTGATGCACTGATGCTTCCATTCCATAACCACCAGGCTCCCAAGATGACAACAGGGTTAAAATAAATCCTTTTCAGTTTGCTTTGTGGAATGCGGGCCCATACTTGTGTTTTCTCCACCATTCTGCAAATACCAAGTCATGACATTGTGGGAAAGTGTAAGAGAAATTGACGTGTTGGAGGTCTGTAGTACCAAAACAATTATATGGTGGATGTTAGCAATATTCCGTAGTTATAGCCTTATAGGTTTACTTTTAGGTTATTCTCAGAATTTTTAGGTTTGCTATCTACTAGTATTTTACTTATGTTTGTTCATGGCTTGTCTAGGTGAAATTACCAAGTTGCACAGGTATTTGGACAGTTTACTACAAGAGTTCTCGTGGAAATACAGCTGACAATAATGAATATCATGCTTATTTGATAATAAGCCTAGAAAGCCGCACAATGGTAACTCTGATTTGATTTTTTTTTGTTTACTTGAATATTTACTATAGCGAGTTACCGAGTTATCATTTATAGTTTTTATCATGTGGACGCACTAAGAGAGAATTTTTTTCGAGCCAACGTTAAATCTAGCAATTCTAATGGAGATGAAACCCAAAAGAAAACCGTTGGGGCGTAACCCTTTTAGCGACGCGCCATATCGGAACCCAGGTATGGTGTTAAATGGGCAAGGGCCGGGTCGGCACCCCCTTGGTGACGCGCCGTGTCGCGATCTGGGCATGGTGTCAAGTGAGCAAGGATCGGGTCGTCGTTTCCTTAGTGGCGCGCTACATCGGCGCCCGGGTGTAGTGAAAAATGAGTAAGGGTCTTCACATCTGAGTCGACGGGTGCGAAGGGTAAGGAAGCTAGTCGAACCAACTAGGATCCGTTTAGGTAGTTGAAATGTAGTGTTGCTTACAGGTAAGTTAAGAGAATTAGTTGATACCGCGACTAGGAGGCATGTAAATATATTATGCGTTCAAGAGACTAAATGGAAGGGTCAGAAGGCGAAGGAGGTGGACAATACAGGTTTCAAGTTTTGGTACACAGGGATAGTCGCCAATAGAAATGGAGTAGAAGTTTTGATTGATAAGAGCCTCAAGAATGGTGTGGTGGGAGTGAGAAGGCAAGGAGATAGGATTATCTTAGTCAAGCTTGTCATTGATGATATGGTCTTGAACGTAATTAGTACGTATGCCCCCAAGTAGGCCTCGACGAGAGTGCTAAGAGACAGTTCTGGGAAGACTTAGATGGCCTGATTAGAGCTATACCTAGTAGTGTGAAACTTTTTATAGGAGGAGATCTTAATGGGCATGTAGGTACTACAAGCGCAGGTTTCGAGGCAGTTCATGGAGGTTTTGGGTATGGTAGTAGGAATCAGGAGAAGTTCTGGACTTCGCGGTAGCTTTTGACCTGATGATAGCCAACACTTTCTTTAGAAAGAGAATCTCATCTAGTGACCTTCAGTAGCGGACGACACTCTAGCCGGATTGACTTTGTCCTCGCAAGAAGAAAGGACAAACGAGCATGCTTGAGTTGCAAGGTGATACCAGGGGAGTGTGTTGTTTCTCAACATAAGCTTTTGGTGGCAGACTTTCGTTTTCAGGTGCGTGCCCGTAGGGATAAACAAGCTAAGATTGAAAGAACAAAGTAGTGAAAACCGAAAGGGGAGACGTCAGAGGTATTCAGGGAAAGGGTTATCAAAGAGGACTCTTGGAAGAAAGAGGACATAAACATGTGGGAGAAGATGGCAACCAACATTCGGAAGGTGGCCTCAGAGGTGTGTGGAGTACCAAAGGCAGTGGAGGCGAGGCTAAAGATACTTGGTGGCGGAACGAGGAAGTCCAAAGAGCTATTAAGGAGAAGAAAGAATGTTGTAGACGCTTGTACCATGACAGGAGTGTGGACAACATAGAGAAGTACAAGGTGACAAAGAAGACTGCAAAGCGAGCTGTAAGTGTGGCAAAGGGTAGAGCGTACGAGGATCTTCACCAACATTTAAGTACGAAGGAAGGAGAGAAGGACATTTATAGGATGACTAGGGTTCGTGAGAGAAAGACAAGGGACTTCAACCAAGTTAAGTGCATTAATGATGAAAGGGAGCATTTCTTGGTGAAGGAGGATGAGATCCGACATCGATGGTAAGAGTATTTTGACAAATTATTCAATGGTGAGAATACGGACACAACCTTTCAGTTGGATGAATCTTTTGATGACACCAATAGACGCTTTGTGCGGAGAATCCAAGAATCTGAGGTCAGAGAGGCGTTGAAAAGGATGAAAGAAGGTAAGACGATGGGACCGGATGGTAATCCCAATCGAGGTGTGGAGATGCCTCGGGGACTTAGTTATAGTATGGCTAACCAAGCTGTTCAACCATATTTTTCGATCGAACAAGATGCCTGACGAGTGGAGAAGTATATTAGTACCGATCTACAAGAATAAAGGGGATATTCAAAGTTGTACTAATTATCGGGGAATTAAGTTGATGACCCATACTATGAAGCTATGGGAGAGAGTTATCGAGAATCGCTTGAGAGCAATAACGCGGGTCTCTATGAACCAATTTGGTTTCATGCCCGGAAGGTCAACCATGGAAGCCATTTTCTTAATAAGACAAGTTATGGAGCGGTATAGGGAGAAGAAGAAGGATCTACACATGGTTTTTATTGACTTGGAAAAGGCTTATGATAAAATACCAAGGAATGTTATGTGGTGGGTTTTGGACAAACATAAAGTACCAACGAAGTACGTCGGGCTCATTAAGGACATGTACCACAATGTTGTGACTAATGTTCGAACAAGTGATGGAGACACGGATGACTTTCCGATTAGGATAGCACTACATCAAGGGTCAGCTTTGAGCCCTTATCTTTTTTCCTTAGTGATGGATGAGGTCATAAGGGACATACAAGGGGGCATCTCTTGGTGTATGCTTTTCGCGGACGATGTAGTGCTAGTTGATGAAAGCCGGACAGGAGTGAATTAGAAACTGGAGTTATGGCGGGAGACTTTGAAGTCTAAAGGTTTTAGACTCAGTAGAACTAAAACTGAGTATATGAGATGTGACTTCGGCACTATTACTTGGGAGGAGGAAGATATTAGTTTGGAAGGTTAAGTAGTGCCTAGGAAGGATATCTTTCGATATTTAGGATCAATGCTACAGAGAGACGGGGATATTGATGAAGATGTTAGCCATAGAATCAAAGCAGGGTGGATGAAGTGGCGCCAAGCATCTGGTGTCCTATGTGACAAAAGGGTACCACAGAAGCTAAAAGGCAAGTTTTATAGGACGGCGATTAGACCTGCTATGTTGTTTGGTGTAGAATGTTGGCCTACGAAAAGACGACATGTTCAATAGATAAGTGTTGCAGAAATGCGTATGTTGCGTTGGATTTGCGGTCATATAAGAAGGGATCGAGTTCGAAACGATGATATACGTGATAGATTAGGGGTAGCACCAATTAAAGAAAAGTTTGTCCTCCAGAGGCATCGGTGCGTAGTGGAATCCTAAGCCTGGATAGTAACGTGAATAGACGCAGAGGAAGACCGAAGTTGACTTTGGTAGAGGCAATAAAATGAGACTTGAAAGGATCGAATATACCCAAAGACTTAGCCTTAGATAGGAGTGCTTGGAAAACAACTATTCACGTGCCTGAACCTTGATTGTTTCTGCTAGGTTTCAACTCTAGCCTACCCCAACTTGTTTGGGACTTAAAGGCTTTGTTGTTGTCGTCGTCGTCGTCTTGGTACTTAAAGATATTAGAATATAGAAAAATTTCAGACTTTAGTTGACATTTCAATTTTGCTTGATCCTCTATTTTCTGTTGAAGAAATGATTAAATAATTACTAACTGTACAACATGATTGTGTGTTACAATAGGTACTTCAGACAGGTGATGATCTAGGAGAAGTCACTGAAACAGTTGACTATAATGTTCAAGCAAGCTCAATTGCTGCTGGTAACTTGTTTGGGAGGTATGCCACTGCTAACCTTTATTGTGTCATTTTAATAAGGGAAAATTGCAAAAAAAACACCCCAAATTCATTTTGTTGCAATGAGCCACCCCCTAGTTTTGAACCACTCCCATATGCCCAAACGAATCTGCCTGTTTTAATACTGAGATGCCACTATAGGTGAAGCTAGCTGAGTTAGCCTAGTCCAGCACTCATCATGCTGCAGTGAAGACATTGCAATACCTGGCATGATCATCCTTAAGTTCTCATCAATGTTATTTTTGGTGCAAGCCCCAGAAAGTGCCAGGATTGTTCTTAGAAGTATCCTGATTTTAACAAATGGAAGGCTCAAAATTGGTGAAAACGCACAATAGCAAAACCTGACATGATCTTGTGTTTAAGTTTCATCAATGATCTTTCTTTAAGTTTTTTCTTTTGTGTTGGGTGTGTTTCTGTACGTGTGTCTAGGTGTGTCTTTGGGTGGGAGAGTTTCTCTCCTCTTATTAATGAAATGATACACAATCTCCTGTGTACTATGCAGCACGGATACGGATACGCGTATCGGTATCGGAAGGATACGGATACACGGATATGGCAATTCTAAAAAAAGGCCAATACGCCGATACGTTTACTATTTTTTAAATGAATAGATAATATAATTGTGAAAGTAGTAAATTTTCATGCAATAGCAATTGCTGGCCAAAGTAAGATTGTCCATTATCCAAGTCCAGAACACCAGAACTTGCACACAAGAACCAAATATGAATGAATGTATGCATTACTAAGACTTGAGTAATCACAAATTGGTAGTTCAGTACATTCATACATTATACTATGATGATAGTTTGATTATTATACATCACCTTCTAGGCTTCTAGTTTTCAGTCAGGAACAGGAGTGAAGGAGTACTTAGGTTCTATTACAGCATTACAGCACAGCAGGTCTCAAATTCTCAAATACAGCAGTCTCAGATTTAGGAAATTAACAAAAGGCATCAAGAGAGATGTCAGCCACATATTTGGAGATGCCATCTACTATTCTACTGCATACAAGCAAAGGCAAGGCATGGACAACACTAACCAGGAAGTGAAAGTGGGGAACAAAGAAAATCAAGCAACAAGAACTCCAGAAATACAGTAGATCAAGAATGGAAAGGCCCTTCACGGGAGGATGCTGGATTCACGATGAATCACCAACAGCGCTGCTGAATTGTCCTCTTTGACTCTCCATGTTGCGACCTCGCAGGCGCCGGCTGCGGTCATGGCGGACTGGCGGCTGGTTCCCCGACACGGTGGATTGACAGCATGACTGGGGCAACGGCTCGTTGCCGACGGCCGGCGAGCAGAGTCGTGTCTCCTGCTGGCGTCGGCACGCTTGTGCGCAGACGCACGTAGGCGGCGCGTGTGTGGTCTAGGCGTGCGGGGGTCAGGATCTAGGCGTCGGGGGAAGGATAAGGGGCATTCTCGCTTGTTGTTGGGCTGGGTCGTATCCAATAGGCACAATATGTATCGTCCCACGTACTGATATTGCAGCTTTTTGGCTCAGCTACTGGTCTTCGGACAAATATACAGAAATGCAGTGCCATGCCCATCCAGTGCTCTGAAGATGATTTGGCAATAGTGAATGCTCATCTCCCTTGCGAGGTCCAGGAGTTCCCTTGCAAATATCTCTGACTCCCTCTCTCCATCAGAAAGTTGACATGAGCTGAACTCCAGCCACTCATTGACAAAATTGCAGAGAAACTCCCAGGGTGGAAGGCGGACCTGATGAACCGGGCGGGTAGGGCCATATATGTGCTCATGTGCTCACGGCTATGCTGATTTATATTGCTACTGCCATGGATCTGCCCCCGTGGTGTCTAAAGGCCATCGACAAAATTCGTCGAAACTTTCTATGGCGAGGAAGAAAAGAGGCTAACGGAGGGCATTGTTTGCTAGCATGGCCCAAGGTCAGCAGGCCTAAGGAACTGGGAGGCCTTGGTATCTTGGATTTACATTGTTTTGGATGGGCTCTTAGGGTGAGATGGCTGTGGCTTGGCAAAACTGAACCAGAAAGACCGTGGAGCGCTCTCCCAGTCCCAGTTCATAGTTGTGCTCAAGCCCTGTTTACTACTGCTATATATTCGATAGTTGGTAACGGTGCTTCCACAAAATTTTGGACTGACAGATGGTTAAATGGATGCTCCATCGAGTTGTTGGCTCCCCGCCTTTTTGCTTGTGTACCTAAAAGGAGAGCCGGTAAGAGAACTGTACAGGAAGCTTTGACAAACAACAGGTGGCTTGAGGACATACAGGGCCACTACTCGGTCGCAGTACTTTCTGAGTTCTTGGACATCTGGGATTTGGTACAGGATGTGATCTTGCAACCAGAGGTCAGAGATATCCACAAATGGCGATTTGAAGCCTCTGGAGAGTTTTCTACCAAATCAGCATATGAGGCCTTCTTTCATGGGTCAACCTATTTTGCGCCGAGTAAGTTGATTTGGGGGACATGGGCTCCAAGGAAATGTAAGTTTTTCCTGTGGCTAGTTGCTCACAATCGTTGTTGGACGGCGGACAAGCTCGCACGACAGGGACTTCCACATCCGGAGCGCTGTCCTCTATGTGATCAGGAAGAAGACACGATCAGTCACCTTCTATCAGCATGTGTATTTGCCTGACAGTTTTGGCATCGACTACTAAATGGTTTTGGTCTTCCAGATGTCACACCTCCACTCAACAGTACTGATTTCTTCTCATGGTGGCAGCAGGCTTGCGACAGTTTGTGCACTGGCGCAAAGCGTGGTTTCAACACCTTGGTAGTACTTGGGACATGGACTATTTGGAGGACAAGGAATGATGCCGTGTTCAATGGGGTCACTCCTAAGGTTGACAGGGCCCTCCTGCTCGCGTGGGAGGAAGCTGAACTCTGGAGGCTTGCAGGGGCAAAGGGGCTAAGTGCTATGGTCGCTGCTAGGCTCCCTGTTTAGAATTTGTAGTGGCAGGCAGCCAGTTGGTCGTGTTGTGTTTGTGGCATTTTGTTTGGGTGAGTGTGTGTGCGTGTGTGTTTGTATTGTTTGGCTTTTGTAGCCTAAATCCTCTTATCTTAATGCAATGATATGGAGCTCTCCTGCATTTGAGAGAAAATATTTCAGAATTTGAACAAAAATCGGATACTCGGAGGGTACGTATCGGCGGCGTATCTGTATCGGATATGTATCCGATACGCGATACACCCCCTCCTTGACGTATCCATGCAACACAGCATGCGTGTTCAAGAAAAAAATTGGTGAAAACGGGCAGAATCTATAGAGCATGTGCACGGTGGGAGTTTTTTTTGTACCGAGTCAAAGAAGGGGATGGGTCTTTGCAACAAATACTTTATTGGGGTCGGGTGGGGGGATCTCAAAATCGAGTGATATTTGGGTGGTTTTTGCTATATTATTATTATTATTATTATTATTTAGACTGTATTTGTTACAATGATTTTTTATACTAATAATGAGTATATTCTGTTGGCATCTTGAAAATCTTTTGGGAAATTACAATTGAAGATAGACTTTATTTTGTATTAGGCCATATGGGTTACATTTGATTTAAAAAAAGTGATTTTTACATGCTGAGGGAGAGAGTGATAGATTTAGAGTTTTCATTACTCTTAACGGCTAGGTTATGAAGGAGCTGTATAGCAAAACTTTGCTAATTGACAGATCACGAGACCAAGTAGAGTTATGGGCTTGGATGTTTTTGGTTCAATTCTGAGTAGTCGACATCCACAGTCTCATGATGACAATGGCACTCTTTGTTACCCTTGTTTGTCTACTAGTTTCCCTTTTTTCTCGAATGAGATAGGAGATCTGTTTGCGATGTTATTAAACTCACCCAGACCCACATAGCAAGAGTACTAAATGTACAACACCACACACAAAACTCACCCTGACCCAAACACTCTAGTTCAATGGATACATGCGTGGCACACTTGGACAAAGGAAATGACCAAAGCCAAGAACACTAACCCTACTAATGGGTCCTGGAGGCCATGAACCCCAGCTGTACACCAGAGGGTTCCCGCATCTACTGTCCACAGTACCAAGGACAATTGCCTGTCACCAAAAGGTTCCCTCAACTATCCGCACTACCAAGAACCATTGCCTATTTGCCTTGAGCGCTACTAGTTCCTTGCACATGGCATGCCGGTTCTAGCATATTTTTATAGTTCTGAATGAAAATGCTCCATTACTGGATGATGAATGTGCTCAGGACTTTTACAACTTTGTCTTTATCATCTTAACATATTATTTCAATTTTGCAGGCGCCGTGTCATACAGGTATATGCCAAGGGTGCTCGTGTGCTTGATGGTTCCTTCATGACACAAGAGCTAAACTTTTCTATGCATACTTCAGAATCGTCATTGAGTTCTGAGCCTCTTGCAGCTGCATCTGCTTCAATTGCAGATCCATATGTTCTTTTGAAAATGGGTGATGGATCCATTCGACTTCTCATAGGAGGTATGGTTCATGTATATCCAGTTTGCCTCTGAAGTTTAGCTATACCTATATCTAATTAAAGTGTGCAATGGTCCAAACTAGTCAGTTGGGAGTTAATGCAAGAAAACTTTCAGTGCAGAAGAAACATTAGAACTAATTAGGCATATCCAACGTTGTAAACTAAACTGAGGTCTGTGACAATACTCCCTCTACTCCTGCTATGTTGGTCAGCGCCTGTGCCTGTTCCTCTTTGGAACCTAGAAGCTTAAATGCTTGCTACATTTTCTTACAATTTGTTGACCCTTTATCACATGGAAAGCCCATCGGAAATAACACAGTAACATTTTTACAACTTCAATTCCTCTTATGTAAAATATTAAACCCCTGAGGCCTTGGACAAATGTTTTTTTTTTCTCAAATACGCAGGAGTGAAATGGAGTCAGATTAGTAAATACCTTATCCATATTGCTGCAAATTGATGGTGAATTGGTACTCCCGATACTATATCTAGATGATAGTCAGCAGTTGGGTTGGTAATGAACATTCTTGTGACAATTTAGCATTACCAGGTAGGGATGCAAGTTCGATTTGCTTTGGGTCGACCCATAACGCATAAAAATGAACTAGTTCGGATTTGATAGCATTTACCAAGAGAGGGAAAAATAAATGAACTAATTCAGTGACCTATAACTACCCATTGGATATCCACTTCCAGCCCTAACCACATGGTTTGGATATTTTCATTTTTGCCACGCTGAATTTCCTTTCCTTTTTTTTTTTTTTGGAAAACGTAGGAGAGCTGCATTTCATTGTATTATAGAGATGGGGGGGGTCCCCGCAGGATCCTCACTCATACGGGGACCAGATATGAGTGAGCAAATTTCCTTTCCTCACTGCCTTCTCCCCTTGCTTGTGGGCAGAGGTGCTACCCTGTGTCATAAACAAAACTAGTTTTTCAATCAGTTTTAGAGAGAATATCCCCACTTTGTTTAACTTCAGCTGCAACTACCTGGCGTATCATTTTCCAATGCTTTTCCAGCTCATGTCATCCTTCTAATCCTGTTGGGCTGCTTAAATGTCCCTTGCGGTGTTTCTTTTGCACTCTTGATGCATGTCATTGTTATAATTTCTCCTTTTGCTGCTAGACGGCTGATGCCTGGGAATCTTCCCCTATTTACTGCTAGTATTTATTTCTCCTTTTGCTGCTAGACGGCTGATGCATGGGAATCTTCCCTGGCTGTCCCCTGTGTGCTTCCCCCTCTCTCTGTTGTGTTAGTCTAGCTCCTATATAAATCCCTGTAATTTGGTTTACTCAACATGTATGAATACAAGAGCTAGTTCATCCTATCATGGTATAACGAGACTCTTAAGATCCTGCAGTCTCCTTCCGCTCCCTATCTCCATGGCCCCTGAGCTGCTGCTTCCCTCTGATGTGACCACTCTCGCCGCGCAGGCCGCCGCTCGCCAGCGCGCAGAGGACGCCACTGCCCGCCAGCGCGCAGAGGACGCCGCTACAGCTGAAGGGAAGGCCGCCCTGGAGACGGCCGCTGCAGCTGCTACCCAGGCCGCCGCCGCTGCCCAGGCCCGCGCCCAGGCAGCCCTCGCTGCCCTGGAAGCCGAGCGCGCTGCGGCCGCCACCCTCGGACGCGCGGCTACCGCGGCTCGGGACCGTGCCGCTCCGCCGGCCCTTGAAGACGACGGCTCAACCTCAGCGACGACGACGCTCCTCTCCACAATGAAGCTGCCCTCGTCGCCCACCTCCACGCCTAGGCTGTGGGTGTCCAGAACATCCGCTCCCTCGTGCCAGTGGTCCTCGATCTCCTGTCCCCCCACTACAACCGATGGCGCGACTTAGTGCTGCTCACTCTCGAGCGGTACGCTCTCGCCGACCATGTCCTCTGCACCGTGCCCCGCCCTGCCCGTCCTTCTTGGCACCGGATGGATTGCGTTGTGCTGTCTTGGCTGTTTGGCACCCTCACTGTCGAACTCCAGGACACCGTTCGCGAACGCGGCGGCTCAGCACGCGACGCTTGGATTGGCATCGAGGAGCAATTCTTGGGCAACCGCGAGACTCGCGCTCTCTACCTCGACGCAGAGTTCCGCGCGTTCGTCCAAGGCGACTTGCTCATCCGCGTCTACTGCCGCAAGATGAAAGGTATGGCAGATGCTCTAGGCGATCTCGGCGAGGTCATCACTGACCGCACCCTCGTCCTCAATGCCCTTCGTGGTCTCAACGCCAAGTATGACGACATAAAGGCCCTCTTGAAGCGGACCCGTCCGTTCCTGACGTTCAATGAAGTCCGCAATGATCTCCAACTTGAGGAGCTCACGCTGGACCCCCCTGTGTCCCAGCCACCGACGGCTCTCCTCGCCTCGCAGCCGAAGTCCAGCGCCACCAACACCTCCCAGGTGCTGCAACCTGGGGGGCCCTCTCTCCACGGTGCCTCCAATCGGGCTCCTGGCACCGGTCCTAGCCACCACGGTGCTAGCGCCGGTTCTGGTAGCAATGGCGGCAAGCAGCATCGTCGCCGTGGGAACAGCGGCAAAGGTGGCAATGGCAGCCAGGGTGGCTCCCCTTGGCCCTCCTTCTACAACCCCTGGACGGGCTCCTTCACTGTGTGGCCCACTCGTGGCCAGCAGCAGCAGCAGCAGCCCCGTGGTCCTCCTCCAGATGGGCGCTCTGGTCACCCTGCACCTCAGCAGGCATTCATGGCGGTGCCCAATCCCTACGGCATCCCTCCGCCACCGGGCTTTCCACCCATGCTGACTGCCCCTGCTTTTTCCATGAACCAGCAGCAGTACCATCAGCAGCAGCCGCAACAGCAGGTGTACCAGGCCCCCTTCCCAGTCTCCCTGGACCGGCTCCTGGAATCAGCAGGCTCTGGCCAACTCCTTCAGCACCATGAGCCTCACTCCACCTGCTGTCATTGACTGGGTCATGGATTCCGGCGCCTCTAATCATATGACGCCTGATGCCGTTAACATTTCTCCTTTCCGACCTCCTCATTTTACTTGTCCTTCATCTCTTGTTGTTGGAAATGGTTCCACTCTTCCTGTGACAGCTACGAGTGATGCTGTCCTTCTAGGAACCTTTCGTCTTAATAATGTTCTTGTTGCTCCCAACATTATTAAGAACCTCATTTCTGTTAGACAATTCACTACTGATAAGAACTGTTTTGTTGAGTTTGATCCTTTTGGTCTCTCTGTGAAGGATCTTCATTCCAGGAACGAGATCATCAGGTGCAATAGCTCCGGACCCCTTTACTCCTTCATGCCGCCGGCCGCTTCCTCCTCTTCATGTGCCCTCATCGCTGCTGCTCCAGCTGCTGTTTAGCATCGTTGTCTTGGGCATCCTGGCCATGAAGCACTCTTCAAACTATCTACTGTTTCTGCTATTTCATGTACTCATCACTCTAGTGATCAACTGTGTCATGCTTGTCAACTTGGTCGTCATATTCGCTTACCATTTGCCAACTCTTCATCTCGTGCTCTTAAGAATTTCGATTTAATTCATTGTGACTTGTGGACCTCTCCTATCAAGAGTGTGTCCAGGTATAAATATTATCTCGTTATTCTTGACGATCACTCTCACTTTCTCTGGACTTTCCCTTTGCGGCTCAAGTCCGAGACTTTTTCTACCTTGGCAAATTTCTTTTCGTACGTGACCACTCAGTTTGGCTGCACCATAAAAAACGTCCTGTGCGGCAATGGGCGTGAATTTGACAATTCCTTCGCCCGCTCTTTCTTCCTCACTCATGGTGTTCTTCTACGGATGTCCTGTCCTTACACCTACTCCCAAAACGGAAAGGCTGAACGCATTCTTCGCTCCATTAACAATATTGTGCGCTCCCTTCTCTTCCAAGCTTCCTTGCCTACTTCCTACTGGGTTGAAGGCCTTCACACTGCCACTTATTTACTAAACCGTCTCCCCACTAAAACTCTGGAGTTCGCCACTCCTCACTTCGCCTTGTTTGGCTCTCATCCCTCCTACTCCCACCTTCGGGTCTTTGGCTGTGCTTGTTATCCTAACATGTCCGCCACTGCCCCTCACAAACTTTCCCATCGCTCCACTCTTTGTGTTTTCCTGGGTTATTCTTCTAATCATAAGGGATTTCGGTGTCTTGACCTCTCCTCCAACCGCATCATCATCTCTCGTCATGTTACCTTTGATGAGACAAATTTTCCCTTTGCCAAGACACCGTCACCCCCCACCACTAATGATTTTGATTTTTTGGATGAGTTTGAGCCATCGGTGTGCCTTCCAGGCCTCCCTGCTGGCTCCTCCCCTTCGGGTACCTTCGGCGGAGTCAACCCTGGTTCACTTGGTGTCTCGCCAGCTGCCACTGTGACTCCTGTCACACCAGTGCTGGCTGAGCCCGTGGACTTGCCAGGTCCTTACCAGCCCCTTCCTGCGCCACGCGCAGCCTCAGCTCCCTCGGCGGAACATCACAATGCCCCTGCTGCTGCTGCTGCTCCACCGGCTCCCCCTGTTGTGCCCCCTGTGCGCACCATCACTCATGTCTACACCCGGCGTCACCCAACTCGTGTTCCTCCAGTTGCTGCTGATTCTGGGCTGTCACAAGGTACTCCAGCTACTGCAGATTCTGGGCTGTCACAAGGTACTCCGGGTGCTGCTAATTCAGGGCTGACACACGGTCCTTCGTTTGCTGCTGCTACTGTTACATTGCCCTAGGGTACTGTTCTAGTTCATCAAGTGGTGAATCATCACTCCATGGCCACTAGAGGGAAACTTGGCTTCCGTCAGCCTGCCATCTATCATGCTGCAGCCATCTCTCCCATTCCGAAGACTTATCGGAGTGCTCTTGCTGATCCTAATTGGCGAACTGCAATGGAAGAAGAGTATGCGGCTCTTCTATCCAATAACTCATGGGATCTCGTTCCCCGACCGTCTGGTGCAAATGTGGTAACTGGCAAGTGGATTTTTCGTCAGAAGTTCAATGCTGATGGCTCCTTTGATCGCTACAAGGCTCGGTGGGTTCTCCGTGGTTTTACCCAACGCCCAGGAGTGGATTATGATGAGACCTTTAGTCCTGTGGTGAAACCAGCAACGGTCCGCACAGTCCTCTCTTTGGCTCTCTCACAGCAGTGGCCTATTCATCAACTGGATGTCAAGAATGCCTTCCTCCATGGCACCCTTTCCGAGACTGTCTATTGTTGCGAACCCACTGGATTTATTGACACTGCTCTTCCTGATCATGTTTGCCGCCTCAACAAGTCTCTGTATGGTCTGAACCAGGCACCTCGCGCTTGGTACAGCCGGTTTGCCACCTACCTCTTGTCTCTCGGGTTTGTTGAAGCAAAGTCTAACACCTCTCTGTTCATTTACCACCGAGGCAATGAGATTGTTTACCTACTAGTCTATGTGGATGCCATTGTTCTGACTGCCTCCAGTGCCTCTCTCCTCCGCCGCACTGTCACTGCCTTTCAACAAGAATTCTCCATGAAAGACCTTGGTCCTTTGCATCACTTTTTGGGCATTTCAGTCACGCAACATTCAGGTGGTCTCTTCCTGTCACAACAGCAGTACACCATTGACATCCTCAAACGTGCTGGTATGATGGATTGCAAACCGTGGACACTCATGCTAAAGTTTCTGCTATTGAAGGTGCTCCTGTCACTGATCCTACCCACTATCGCAGTCTTACAGGAGCCCTGCAGTACCTTACTTTCACAAGACCAGACATTGCTTATGCTGTTCAACAAGTATTCCTTCACATACATGATCCTCGCGAACCTCACTTGTCTGCTGTTAAGAGGATTCTCCGCTATCTTCAGGGAACTCTCAGCCATGGCCTGCACCTTCAGCCCTCCACTCCTTCTGAACTTGTGGTCTATACTGATGCCGATTGGGCTGGGTGTCCCGACACTCGCCGCTCCACTTCAGGCTATGCTGTGTTTCTTGGCGCCAATCTGGTTTCTTAGTCTTCAAAACGCCAAAACACAGTCTCTCGTTCAAGTGCCAAAGCTGAATACCGGGCTGTGGCCAATGGAGTTGCTGAAACTTGCTGGCTCCGCCAACTTCTACAGGAATTGCATGCTCCACTGCCTCAGAGCACACTGGTCTACTGTGACAATGTCAGTGCAGTATACTTGTCCACGAATCCCGTACAACATCAACGCACGAAGCATGTTGAGATTGATCTCCACTTCGTTCGTGAACGGGTCGCCATTGGTGATGTTCGGGTTCTTCACGTACCAACGACGTCCCAGTTTGCTGACATCTTCACCAAGGGTCTTCCCACCTCCGTGTTCCAAGATTTTCGCTCCAGTCTTCATATCAGCGAGCCCGCCGATTCGACTGTGGGGGGGTGTTAGTATGTTTACTGCTTCCTTTATTACTAGCTGACTGCCTAGGAACCTCCCCTGGCTGTCACCTACTTACTCCCCCTCTTTACTGCTAGTATTTACTTCTCTTTTTGCTGCTAGACGGCTGATGCCTGGGAATCTTCCCTGGCTGTCGCCTGTGTGCTTCCCCCTCTCTCTCTTGTGTTAGTCTAGCTCCTATATAAATCCCTGTAATTTGGTTTACTCAACATGTATGAATACAAGAGCTAGTTCATCCTCTATCAGATATAAAATTTTAACATCAATGGCAATGTGGCATCATGTTCTGTTCTGTTCATTATACTACCATGCTTCTGTGCTCCTTGGCCGTGCTTGACCTGTTTAAAGACATAATGTGCCATACCAGCTACCAAGCATGAATGGTTGCTTGTCCCATTAGCTTCCTTTTATACAGTGGTACCTTCTGCGCAACATGGATATATGGTGTCAGACACCTACTAACAAAAATATGCAAGGCTCACCTTGGAATCTTCGAGAACTTGAGATTAGGGTGTCTCGCGAATGGGTCTGTAGCCTTGTTGGTCACAGGAGCCTTACTCAGGTCCTGGGTTCGACCCCATGGGAGCGAATTTAAAAAGGCTTGGGGCCCTGGGTTAAAAAACACCCCTCGTCAGCTGTATTCCTGAGTTTTTTTTTTCTCGAACACGCAGGAGAGCTGCGTATCATTTGTATTAGTAGAAGAATAAGGAGTCATACATAGACCCAAAAACACTCACCCCCACACCTTCCCTGATTTCTAAAGCTACATCACCTGAGTCTGAGAGTACAGCGACCAAGCATGCTAACTAACTAAGCACCCCTAGCAGTGAGCAAGGACAGACCCTTGGCTCCTGCCAAACACCACCAATGGGCATCATCCCTAGCTATACTAAGGGCTGTGTTAATGTTAGGTGCCACCCCATTGAAGACACAGTCATTCCGGTGCTTCCAGATGCTCCAGGCTCCAAGGATGATAATGGAGTTTAATCCTTTTCTCACATCTCCAGTGGTGGCCGCCTCTGCCTTCTCCCACCAATCCTCCCAAGCTGAATCCTCGGGTTGAGGCGTGAGTGAAGAGAGTCCGAAGCGCTGCAAGAGGGCAAACCAGAATTGTCTGGCAAACACACAACCAACTAGGAGGTGATCAATGTTTTCTTGTTCTTGGTCACAGAGTAGACATTTGGCCGGGTGAGGAAGTCCTCTCCGAGCAAGCCTGTCAGCTATCCAAAGACCGTTTATGAGCCACCAGCCACATGAAAAAGCGGCATTTGGGAGGAGCCCATGACTTCCATATTCTCTCATATGGCCTGAAGTATATGGCGCCCTGAAAAAATACATCATAGGCAGACTTCGCTGTGTATTTTCCTGAAGCCGAAAGCCTCCAAATGTGTCTGTCCTGTGCCCCATCCTGCAGCTCAATATTAGATAATTTATCCCACAATTCCAGATATTCCATCAGAGCTTCCACAGGTACTCCCACTCGGATGTCATCGATCCATTTCTCATCAGTCAAGGCCTCCGCTACTGTACGCATGCCTATTATTCTTTTAGAGACCAAACTAAGGATCTTAGGCGCTACTTCCTCAATATTTTTCCCCTCCAGCCATCTATCCTTCTTCCGAGCAGTGGTAGCTCCGTTTCCTACATCGGTATACACTGCCATAGAGATGAGGCCATCCACCTCCTTGCTCACTTGAAATGGCAGACTTGCCCAAGGTTTACTTGGTTCAGATTTTCTCAGCCATGGCCACCTAGCTCTGAGTGCAAAACCTAGGGATTTTAGGTCCGCAATTCCCAGGCCCCCAAGTTCTTTAGATCGACAAACTTTGGGCCAAGCGATGAGGCAGTGTCCTCCATTAGCTTCTTTTCTGCCTCTCCAAAGGAACGCTCTTCTGATTTTATCAATTGCCTTAATAGCCCAAGGCGGAAGCTCAATTGCCATAGCCAAGTATACTAACATTGCAGTCAGGACATGTTGCACCTGCACCACCCTTCCTACCTTTGTCATTAGATCTGCTTTCCATCTTGGCAACTGATCAGCTATTTTATCGATAATTGGTTGGATTTGGTCTTTGGTCAGCTTCTTGATGGAGAGAGGCAAACCAAGATATTTGCAAGGAAATCCCTGAATACCACAAGGTAGCAGACTCTGAACAACTCCCATATTTTCTTCAGAACAATGGATTGGCATTACGTTACTTTTCTGCACATTTGTTTTGAGTCCAGAAGCTTCCCCAAATAGCTGGAGTATTCTCAAAGTCAAATTGATATCCGCTGCTGCAGGTTGGAGGAAGAGAGCTACATCATCAGCATATAAGGAAATTCTGTGCTGAATAGGCCTTCTAGCCAGGGGTTGCAGGATTCCTTCCTCATCAGCCTGTGTGACCATCCGATTCAGCACATCCATCACCAAGATGAAAAGCATTGGAGAGAGAGGATCTCCCTGGCGGAGCCCTCTTCTATGTTGAATAGTCTCCCCAGGGCTGCCATTTAGGAGCACTTGGGTGGAGGAAGTTGAGAGCAGTCCGCAAAGAAGATCACACCATCGAGCACCAAAGCCGAGCTTTCGGAGTACCTCCAGCAGGAAAGACCAATTTACTGAATCAAATGCCTTTTTGATATCCAATTTCAGGAGTATTCTTGGCTGCCTTTGAGAGTGTAGGTATTTTACAGTCTGCTGCACCAACATGAAATTGTCCTGAATAAATCGCCTTTTTGATAAAGGCGCTTTGGTTGGGGGAAACCATTTCATCAAGACGGCCAGCTAACCGGTTGGCAAGGATTTTAGTCACTAGCTTAGCAAAACTGTGTACCAGACTAATGGGCCTAAAGTCCTTTACCTGAGCAGCCTCATAGTTCTTTGGGATTAGGGTGATAAATGCAGAATTTAGCATCCACAAGTTCCTGAATCTTTTTTCCCAAATGGTGTGCAGAGCAGACATTACATCCTCTTTGATTATTGTCCAGCAGGTTTTATAAAACTTTCCTGTGAACCCGTCTGGACCTGGGGCCTTATCAGTTGGCAAGTGTTTGATGGTTCTCCAAACCTCCTCCTCCGTAAACGGTATGTCCAGGGCCTCTAGATCATATTCTGGGATATTGAGTGCTTCAAGGTTTATAGTTCTTTCTCTGTCACAGGCTGTGCCGATCAGGTTTGAGTAAAACTCGAAGATTTCAGCTTCCTTTTCCTCATGTGCAGTGACAATGTGATCACCCGCCTTCAATCTAGCAATAAAATTCTTCCTTTTTCTATGTCGTGCATGCATATGGAACAATCTGGTATTGGCATCCCCTTCTTTAAGCCAACCTATTCGAGATCTTGACCTGGCTATAGTTCTCATTAATGAA